GATGGAATCACAGGTGCCTGATCAATGTTTTTCATTAGCAAAGTTGATGGTGGTGGCGTGCGTGTCTGTGTGAGTGAAAGACAGAGAGGGAGAGCGAGCGACAGAATTTCACAGGACGCACAGTCTGAGCACTCGGGTCGCATCAGAGCATCGGGTCGTATAGTGTGAGACCCTGCATCGTGACCTATGAACTTCTAACCCCTGCGAGTCAATCGTGCAGTTTGAGCAGAAGCTGAATCGCACGACTGAAAAAAAAATCGCAGTGTGAGCCCGGCATAAACTGAAAACTGAACCACAGCTCTTCATTTGCTGATCAGCAGCAAGTTTTGATGCTGCTGATGTCAGAATTCAAATGAACTATGTTTTTTTTTTTTTAAATGAACCAAGGCACAACAGCCACACCTAGACCCATGTACAGACCTGAGAGGGCAACAACGACAAGAGTCAAGCTTGAAAAGAACAAAGAGGAACTGAGGCGAAAAAGATAACTGACGGCTAGGATAGCAGTCAGAAGAACGAAACAACAACAGCATTTTGTAAGAAACGTGGCAGTTATCTTGGCTGTAGCTACACGGTAGCATAGCTAGAATCAAACAAAGTCTTTATGATTTTGTTTGTTTAAAAACAGGTTTTGTAATACAACCATGTGATCCGACTGACTGCGGTTGTTACATGCAGCTGCTCTAAAACACGAAGCACTGTAATGTAATAGTAACAAAAGACTAAACCACTTTATCTTTGAAGGATTTTTATTTTTAACTAGTGCTGTCAACATTAATGCAGATCGCCCCGCGTGTGGGGCTGCACGGTGTCAACGTGTTAGCGCGGTTAGCTCATAAACGGCATTTTAATGAGATGACAGCACCATTTTTAACATTTGACCTCTTTGTGTTCATATGGATCAACCACTCCCAAGAGCAATCCTTTGCCTTATTGTTTAGCTTCTCCCTGTATATTATTATTGTGCTTTTGAATTTGCTCATGCGTCATTTAGCTGGAGTATTTTTCTTGTCATTCCATAGTGACGTCCAATAGATAAAAGGTAAGTGTTGAACTTGCATTTGATAGCATTTAACTGCAACAACAAAGAGATGTTGATGCAAGTGAAAGAACCCATGATTTGGCTCTGTATGATGACATTACGTTGTTAGGCCTCCATCACTCAGGCCCAGAGATCTGCAAGTGATCATGGTGACCAAGTTTGCATCTAGTTGCATGAAAGACGCCAGCTTGTTTGCGAACATTGACCAGAGTGATGCAAACTGGAAACTTCAGCAATTTCAAGTGTTTCTCATGTTCCACCGCTGCTTGGCCAGTAGTTGCTGAGTGTTTGCAGACAAGTTGAGGTCTGCAAAGCAACAACGGACAACCGGAGCAACTGGGCAAATAAGTCACAAAGAGATTATTGATGCAAAATCATAGTATCAGCTTATGTTTAGCACTGAAAAAAATTCAGGAACCTAACCAAAAACTTAATGACTTTGAGATGTGGAAAAAATGGTTATTTATTTGACTGAACTAATGCTAATATAATATAATAATGTAAATATATATTCTATCAACAGAATTAAAGTCTTAGAGATAAATCAATGCATGCTTTGACTATTTCTTTTGGCATTTGTCAAGGAGTTTTTGTGTTTGCAAAATTATTACCACCATCTAAAATGTATGCCACGGTTGTCCTAAACTAACAATATTGCTCTTTACTAATCCACCAGTTTGCAAAAGCTCAAAATTGTTGTTATCCATGAATTTGACCAGATTAGTTATTTACTCATCTAAAAATCAGTTTTAGTAAATTACGCTTGATTACCGTAATTGTCGGGCTATAAGCCGCTACTTTTTGCAGGGCATGTGATCAGACACACAGTATCGGGGTTCAAGAGTGGTATGTTGGTCACATGTCCGTCCGCCAG